CAGTAATCATTTCAGTAGCTACAGCATCAAAATCTTTTTTCTTGTGTTTTTCAATTGATTCATAAGTAAGAGTAATAAGTTCTTCATAATTCATTTTCTCATACAATCCATCACAAGTTAAAATAAGGAATGGATTATGTTTTCCAATTGGTGTCATTTGAAGAGCAGGAATTGGTGAAACAAAATCTTTCATTGATTTATTATATGGATATTTAAATTCTATATCTCCAAATGATCGTGAAATAGCAAGAATACCATTAATTCTTCCACAAATAACTTGTCCACCTGCTTCTTCAATTCGTTTTTTTTCTCCGTCATCAGTTGGATTATGTTTTGTTGATAATGGAACTGGTTTACATCCTTTTTCTTTTGGTTTAGTAATTCCAAGAACTGCTTCAGCATCTCCAAGATTAGCTGTATATAATCGTTTTCCAACTAAAAGAACAACACATGCAGTACATCCATTAGTCCAATGTTCAGCTTCTGAACGTTTAAGAACTTCTTGATCAGTTTTTAAAAATGCATTGTATAATGCTTTTTCATAGTTACCAGCTTTAAATTCTGTTTCATTGACAAGAATTTGTGCAAAAACTTCTTCAGCAACTTTAGCAGCTTCTTTACCTCCATGCCCATCAAATACAGCAAATAATGCCATTTGATCTCCTTTAATTTTAAACATTTTATTTAAATCAGGAATAATTAAATGAGCGTCTTCCATTTGTGGACGAGGGCCACACTCTTCATGAAATCCTATTTCCATTTTAGCTAATTTGCCTTTATCCATTATATCTGGTATGTTTTTTCTTAGTTCATTTTTTAATTGAAATTTCTTTCCTTCCTATTTAAATAAAGATAAAACAACAGTGTTTTTAATTCTCTTGGTTTTTATTAATTTTTTTCTTTTTCATTAAAAACTTCCTTGTAAATTCTCATTTCTCACCTTCTTTCTCTAAGAATTCCTCTCCTTTGTTTATTTTTCTTCTTTCAGTGGTTTTTCATCCTCTCCTTTTTTAGTTGTTTAAGGAATCTAAAAAATTGAAAGTTTTATCTACTCAAATGGATTAATCTCTTCCTTCTTTCTTATTTGTTTTGTTTCTTTATTGTTTTATTATTTTTATTACTCAATTTTTATTATAGGCGCTTTATTATTTCTTTTCTTAATACTAACTAGAACTATTCTGTGTTCAGAATAAAACGGTTCTTTAACTCTTTTTTCTCAAAGTCTTTACTTTGGCGTATTTTTCACTAAAGAAAAGAAAAAAATTTTACTCAGTGGAGTTTATTTGAAAAGCTACTTAATTTTGGCTTTAGACCCATTAAAAATTTTTTGAGACAAACCCCACTAGACTCTTAATGAACGTAATTATAAGATTCGGCAAGTTAAGTTCTTAATTACCTAATACATTAAGGAAATATATGAAAATGCAACAACTCGGAAAGAAACTTCAAAAACAGGAAAACCTACTTTTTTCTCTTTTCATATAACTAGTGAAGATAATGGTGGACAAAAAAAAATAGAGCACAATAGTGTAAATCACAGGGACTTTACCTTAAGAATCTACTTAGCTTAAGTATAGAAAAAATTAGAAAAGAAATAGTTACTATAAAAGAGAACTAGTATTCTGTCAAATCTCATTAGACTTAAGTTTCAAGTATGTCTCAACAATCTACTAACGCCCATATTTACATTTATATGCTTGAACAAGGATATCGAGACGCAGCTAAAGTATTTAAAAAAGAAGCGAGAGTTGATTATGATGCTGAGGCTAGTTGTATTGAGTGTATTTCTGCGTGTTCTTCACAGTCATTAGAAAAGAAAGAAGGGATTATAAGAAAATCTAGTTTAGTACCAGATAACAAAAAACCAGTAACTAAAACTGAGAAAGAAGAAAAAAAAAAAGATAAAAAGGTATCGAAAAAAGAAGATGAAAAGAAAGTATCAGAAAAATCAACACCAAAGAAAGATGAAAATAAACCAAAAAAACCAAAAAATGCTTATTTATTATTTTCATCTGAAAAGTATCCTCAATATAAGAAACAATTCCCTGATTTAAAAATATCAGAGATTGGTAAAAAAATAGGAGTCGAATGGAAAGAATTACCTGAAGAACAAAAGAAAAAATATATTGACCAATATTATGCATCTAAAGCAGAGTATAATGACAAGCTAAAAGAATATGATGCACAAACATTAAATACTGACGATAAAAAAGAAAAGAAAACAAAAAAAACAACAAAGAAAGAAGATGAAAAAGATACAGAAGAAAAAAAACCAAAAAAGGTTGAAATTAAAAAAGAGGATGAAAAGCCTAAAAAAGTTGAAAGTAAGAAAGAAGAAAAACCAAAGAAGGTTGAAGTTAAAAAAGAAGAAGACAAATCTAAGAAAGTTGAAGTTAAAAAAGAAGAAGAAAAAAAGGAAGAAAAAAAAGAGAAGAAACATTCAAAGAAAGAAGATAAGAAAAAAGAAAAAAAAGAAGAAACGAAAAAGAATGAAGGAAAGAAAGAAAGCGATAAAAAAGATGATACAAAAAAAGACAAGAAAGTGAAGAAATCGGAAAAGAAAGATGAGACCAAAAAAGAGGATGAAAAAAAACATGAAAAGACAGAAGAAAAGAAGCCTAAAAAACTTGAAAGTGAAAAAGAAGAAAGTAAAAAAGAAAAGAAACATTCAAAGAAAGATGATGAAAAATTAAAAAAAACAGATGACAAGAAAAAAGATGAAGAGAAATCAAAAAAAGTCGAAGACAAGAAAGCTAAAAAACAAAAAAAGGATGAGTCAAGTTCATCTGATGAAGATATGAACACGGTTCTTCTTAAAATTCAAAAAAAAATAAAATCGTAAATATAAAAAATACACACATACTTTCAAATGATTACTTTATTAATTTTACTTATATTTTAAATAGATAATAATTAATAATAAAAAAATGAAAGATTGGAATTAAGTGATAGTATAATTAGACAATAACCAAACAATTAATAGGATTTCTCTTTCTTGAACGAGTTATACAACGCATAGGGTTTGAACAAATAGCATCATATGATTGAGAAGGTGTAAGACCAAGAGTTCTACCAAAATGTTGTAATGAACGAAGAGATTTAAATGAGGTTAATGAAGTAGCACCACTTGAAAGAATTAAATTTCTAGCCTTAGTTAATGTGATAAAGTCATGAATATTTGAAAAAATTTGAGAACGTAAATTTCCATTTTTAATGGATGAGAGAGATGACACCTTTATTTCAAAAAAAATTCCCCTTGTAAGAGCAGTTTTTATAGCACTTATATTAGTATAAAAAGAATAGCGTAAAAAGTCTAATGTAATAATATCAGTTGTTGCCAATGAACATGTTTCATTAAATGCCCTTTCATTAGTTGGTTCTACTGATACTAAATCAAATGACTTACCAATAACAACCTATTTTTTATTAAATATATTCTTAATGAATCAAAAAAAATTAAAATAATAAACAAACTAAAGAGTGAAGTGTTTGTAAATTTGATACAATAAATGATGCTCTTGTAAGTTGTTTATGACTAGGTAATAGTGAATATTCTCCACTAGGTAAATTGGTTTGGTATTGATATTTAGGTGGTTTAATCACTTGGAAAAGCCTATTTTCCTTAATTTTAATAGCAAAAATTACATAGCGAAATTCGTCAAAGAGAGGAGATTGAGATATTTCATTATATCCATTCTCTGAGTATTCAACACAGCAATCAGCCATTTTTCGATTTTATTAGTTTTCGCCGTCAGTTGTGTGACTTAAAAAGTGGTCAGCATTTTATTTTTCTTGGTATCAAATTAATAGTTTTCCCTTGTATTTCTTCTTTTTTTTCCATTTTTGGTAATTGTTTTTTTTATTTCGCCATCAAAATATCTCTTTTGTTTCTTATTTATTGCCAATAACCGTTTAGAATCTACGAATGACTTTTGAGAATAGACTGACTGAATTATCTGGCTTTCATTAAGATTCTATTAAAACCTTTATTTTTATACATTCTCAATTTATTTTTTTTTTTTAGTTTAGTGTTATTTATTAATCTTCAAAGCTTCCTTTTTAAACAACTTCCTGAGACAAATACATTATACTAACTTTCTGATTCAAGATAGTTTATAACAAAAAACTAAATAATTCAATGTTCTAAATTATTTAAAAAGAATAAAAATAAGTTATGAAAAAGAAGTTTTATTTTATTTTAAACAAAACAACATGAAGTCAAGAGTATCAAAAACCGAAAAAAAACAGTGGAAAGATTTATGGCAAAGCCATAAAATCAATATGATATATTTCTTTAAAACAAAGTATTATAAAAATCATTTTTTTAATAAAACAAAAAAAATTATAAAACCAAGTTATTCTATAAAATAAAAATATTTTTAGTAAAACTTCAATTAGACACAAATATGTTTTATTCAATTCTATTCTTCATCCATCAAACAAACCATATTTTCTTGGACAAACTGAATAACAGGACCATTCATTAAAAGGTCATCTATTACTTGTTTTAAAACATTTATCACATCGTCATTATTTGCTAATGCTACGTAATGATAAGTTGACATAAGATGAATAGGTTTTAAGAGGACAATAATTTTCTTAATAGTTTCTATTCTATTTGCAATTATAGGTACATCATTATTAATTTTCGTAATAAATCTAATTAATGCATTTGATACTTCTTCTGGTGTTAACAAATCATGCTCAATAGAATAAAATACATCTCTTGCCAATGCTAAATATTCAGTACAATCATTTTGTATTGTTGAAGCTTCACAAGTAGAATAAAGTAAAGCATCTTGAATTGCAAAACATGTTTTTGTAAGAATGACCCAAAATTTTACATGGAATAGGCCATGAACATAACTAGATTTAAGTTATATAATTATAAAATAGAATGAACAAAAAAAATAAAGCAAACTTGAATACTAAACGATGAATAGTTTCCATTTGTTGATTATTTTCATAATACAAAGCCTTAAAAGCATTTACCTTTCTTCCAAGATTCTAGACAAATAAGTTTTTAATTTTTTTTAAAATACAGACTCTTTTTGGTTAATAGATTTATAATGTTACAAACAGAATAAAGGTCATCAGTAATTTTTTGTAAAGATGTTGTAATGCCTTCAAAACTATCGCATGAAGATTCTTCTACAAATTGAATAAATTCTTTCATATCATTTTTCATATCAGAAATTAATGGGATTGCGTCTTCATACTCTCCAAAGAATTCAACAGCTTTTAAGAAAGTAAGAGGTTGAGTTGGTAGATTAATAGTCATAAAATAATATTACTAGTTCTCTTTATGAAAAGAAAAAACTGAAATGAAAAGATCAATTAATGAAAAAAGAGAATTTTAAAAGATTTACCAAACATTTAAATAAAAACAATAACTCGTTTATGTGATTGTTTGTTTAATGATACCCATTCTTCATTTGTTATGATTATTCTTCAATTCGATAATGAATTGGTAGAATTTGGTTTTATTTTAAATTGATCACCAATGCATTGAATGTATACATAACAAGATGTAACAACTCGAATTGTTTCAGGAAATCCTTTTTTTACTCTAGCATCTTCGAGTTTTTTTAAGCATTTATTAAAACTACCAACATTATATCTTAAATGATTTTTACGTTCTTTTTCTCCTTTAATTCCATCATAAATATTAATTCCTTTTAATCGAGTATATTCTTTAAAAACATCTACTGCAAGAATACTTGGAAATCCTTTGATTCTTGCAACATTTTTTCCTTGTTCCATTATTTTTTTCATGACATCAATAACTAAATTGTAATTTACATCAAAAACACATTTTTGGGGATTTTTGAATAAAACACTTGTAGATAATTCTTCAGTCTCTTCTAAATCTACCTTTTTTTCTTCGCTATGCTCTCTCATTGTTTTTAGTGTTATGTCTTCAATAGTATCTGTTTCATCATCTTCAATAACTGTTTTCTTTTTAATTTCTTTTTTTCTTTCTTTTGTTGGTTGGCGTGGCTTTTTTCGTTCTTCTTTTTCTAATGAGATTCTTTTTATTTCAGATAATTGTATTGTGTTTAAGTCCTCTCCTCCAACAAGAGCAAGTCCTATTATTTCATCATTTATTTCATTATATTGTTTTTTCAGTGTCATTAGATCCCTATTCATGTACTCCAACTTAGTCTCTAACAATACTTTCTCTTGTTTAGTCTTTTCATTTTCACTTTTAATTCTTTCAAACTGAACTTTTTGTGTTGCTAACTCTAATTCTTTCTTTTCATTATTTTCTTGCAATTGAAGAATCTCTTGTTTTAATGTTTTTATTTCTTCTTCTGCTTTTAAGCATTTTATTTTCATCTCTTCTTCATTTTTTTCTTTATCTCTCATCTGTTCTTCACTGCTTTTTAATTTATAGTATTCATCTAAAGACAAAGTAATATTCTTATCTACGCTCATTGACTCTTTTTGAAGATGGTTCTTTTTTATTTGATCCTTTGATTCTTCTCTTTTTCTTCATCTTTTTCTTTCTTTTTTTTCTCTTTCTACCACTTATTTTCCCTAAGTTTTTAAAGAATAGATTTCATTTTAGGGTTCTTTTCGTAACCCTTACTATTTTTATATTTACTAATAAAAATTTTTAAAAGAAATGTTAAAAATTATGAAACATCTTTCTTTCCTTTCTTTCTTCATTCGGACATCACTACTCGCTTAAATTCTTCAAATGATATTTTCCCATCTTTGTCTGTATCAACTTCTTTAATCATAGCATTGATTTCCTCGTTTGTAAGTTTTTCTCCTAGTGTTGTCATAACTCTTTTTAAAGAGACAGTTGTAATATAGTCAGTACCTTCAAAAGCAAAAATATCAAATACTTGGCGAAGTTCTTCTTCAGTCATTTACTTTATTTTTTTTTTCATAGTTCTGTTTTTTGTCTCAAGAAAAAACTTTTAATTGTGCTATTTACCTTTTCAAATAAGTTCAATAATTATATTTAGGAAGAATAAAATGGTGTCTCTTAGTTTTTTTATTTGTTTATCATTTATCATATCACCATTATTCACTCGTTCAAAAAGACATGAAAAATAAGAAAATCTAAACTGAATCTTAAAATTTTATTTAGTCCTAATGAAAGTAGAAAGTCTCCAAAAATTCAGAGAATATGCAGAGGCATTATTCAAGGCTAACCAAAACGTTTGTTAACCAAAAGATAAAGTTTATTAATAATAAATTTGTTTTGTTATTTAAATTAAATTTAAGAAAGAGTTGAACTGATTAGATAGACAAGATATTTTATGAAATATCGAGACGATGATTTGATTATTACTTTAAAAGTTACTGATAATGTTAAAACATATACCTACGATATTAAGGATAGAAAAGAAATGAATGCTGTTACTGAGTTAAATATGAAAATGATGTCATACATGTCAGGAAGAACAAAATTGGAATAATCAATTCACTCTTTTTAATGATTATTTTTCCATTATTATTTTAATGGAACAAATGAAATAATAAAAACTCAATTTAGAAACCATGGATTTTAATATTTTCTGGAAGAAGAATACCTTCAGCAAGGAAGAAATTTGAGGCAGCTTTACGTTGATCACCTGATAATTTAAATTCAACTTCACCATCTTTTGATTTTTGTAATGAACCATTACAATTAAATGTCTATAAATATTATTTGCATTGAACCTATAAGTATCTTCAAAAAAAAAATAACAAACACGTTTAAAGTGCTTAAGAATTAAATCAGCATCATACCTTTCTGGAATACCTGTAATTGTCGTTACACATTTTCTTCCATTACGTTGTTGTATTCTAAAATGAACAATAAATGATCCTTTTCCTGAAATGGTTGATTCCTCAACTAATTGGTCATTATTTGTAATAAGTTCAGCTGATTCTGCCATGATGGTGATTTTTGATTCTTTCAGTTCTTTTTATGTTTTTTTCTTTCTTAAAACTATAATTTTACTATTAGTTTATTATTATTTTACTATTAAAACCCTATTCTTTTTTTTATCATACATCCAACTTTGACGTTTCATTAAAATCAAAAAATGTGTTATAAAACATACAAAAAGATACTTAATAAGAATAGAATGGAAATCAGGGTTTAAAGACAAAAAGTAATTGAAACAAAAGGACTAAATAATCTTATTGAAGTTTAATGGAAAGAGAAGAAAATTACGAAAAACCACATAAGAAACAAGTCCGTTCTGTTGATGATGTAAAAATATATTCAGTTAATCATCCAATTGAACAAAAAGCAGTTAAAGAAAAACATTTTGTTGAAGTTGATGATACAAAAAGTAAAAATGACATGAGAAAAGAATACAAATCTCAAAAACATCAAAAGCCAAAAGGAAAAACACCTCAAAGAGGAGGTAAACGAATAGAACGATTTGAAGAAGATTAAAATAATATTTTCATGTCTTATTTTTTTTCATACATTGAAAGAAAATTTCATTAATTTTTGGTTTTTTTATTATTAAAAACATATCTCTTTACTAAAATTCAATTCAAATAAAACGAGAATATCATTTTATATATCAATCTCAAATGGACTGAATTCAATCTTATGAAGAACAACTACAGGAAATTTCCATTCAGGATTATTGTTTGATATGGTCTGATGTTTTTCATAATCAATAACTTCTTCTTCATTCTCTTGTGTGTTATTATCTTCATCAATAACAGAATATCGTGTAAAATGAGGAACAACAAATGTAACAGTTTTAGTATTTTCTTCATAACTTTTAATATCTACTTTCTTACTTAAACGAGGAAGAAGTTTTCTAAATTCTTCTAATGTATCAACAACATTCTCTAAAACAATAGTAGCTTCTTTATTTAATTTCTCTCCAAATCGAGGTTTTTGAATTCCATCTGGATAAACATCACAATATCCTCGTTCTATAATAATAGATATATCTAAATTAACATTTGTTAAATCAACGTTTGACCACATAACCTTACCATAACCTGGTCGTGAAACTTCAAATGAAGAAACATTTTTAAGTTGTTCGATTGACATAGCTTTTAATGTTTGCATTGAAGGATTACATACATATCCTTGTTTTAATCCTATTGGTTTAATGTCATATGAAATATTTGGTTGTAATGCTTCAATTTCTCTTTCAGCATCAAATAATATTTTGTCAATAACTTTTGGATCAATTATACAACATGAAGTATTAAACATCATTTCTTCTGGTCTTACAAAGTCAGGTTGATTCATTGATGTTTGGTCATGGTATACCCATGACTTTTCTTTACTTTGTTTATCTTTTGAAGCATTAGTTCCAATTGGTAAAGATGAAATAGAAAGAGGGTTTAACAGTATTGGGTTATTATTTCCTGTTGTTGAATTTCCAAGTCCAGTATTAAATGTATTTGAAAAAAGGCTATTAGTAGTTCCAAGTCCTGTAGTTGTGTTTGTTCCAAACCCAGTATTAAGTGAATTTGAGAAAAGACTATTAGTATTACCAAGTCCTGTCGTTGTACCTAATCCACTACTTATTGAAGTAGAAAAAAGATTAGTAGAATTCCCAAGACCTCCATTTGAAGTTAACGAAGGAAAAGCATTAGTTGAAAGACTGGGTATACTACTATTTGTTCCAGATGTTAAAGAGGTATTTTGATTTAAATTTTGCATGAAATGAATCTCAAGATTTTATTTTACAATTTTTGTTTTTTATCTTTATAAAAATGAAATATATAACAAAAAATAAAGAATTGTATTATTTTATATCAAAAAAGATCCTTTCTTTTAAGTAGTACTTTATAAATTTAATAGATAGAAATAACGAATGAAAGAAATGATAGTTCTACTATTTACACTATTAATCAAATCATTTTAGTGCCACAGATATACAAATTTTGAAGGGTGAATAAATTTTAATATCAAAACACAAAAAAAAACATAATAATTATATTGAATAAAACAAAAGAGGAAATTATAAACACTTTTTTAGTTTGTTGAATTCAGAATAATCAAATAGAGTACTTTTATGATAAAATAAACAAAACAACACTATGTGTTTTAATTGAATTTTTAAATTATAAATCTTTTTTGTTATTTATTAAAAAAATAACAATAAATATATTCACCAATTAATAGTCTAAAAAACAAAATGATTTAAGCAATGGTATCATATTCACTAGACTTGCTGGTCATTTTCTTATAAATGAATAAACCAGTAATTGCAATAATCAAAATTACTATAACAACAGCAATACCAATAGCACAACCAATGGCAACCCAGAATTCTACAGAATATTTACTATTCTCTGATCCATTACTTGAATCATTGCTGTAATTACTTGATTGTTCAGAGAAAGCAGAAATAATGAATAAAGCAAGAAGAATAACTACTTTCATTTGTTGTATTAAACTGAAAACCCTTTTACTAGATTAGATTAAATAGCACATATTCTTTCTACTCAAACTATTCAGAGTTTTGCTATATAATAGTTCAATTTAAAGAATAGATTACCATTTTTTGAAGATAATGTTAGATTGTTATTATTTTTCCCTTAATTTATAACCATTTTTAATATTTCGAATTAATTATATTGTTCAAGTTATTACCAATAATTGTTATTTGCCTAAAAAACTATTTCTATTTCATTTAATTTTTTATAGAATAAAGATAATACAAATTTTTTATTGACCCTATTTGTAATTCAAACAAAAAAAATTAAAGCAGAACTTTCATTTCTCATTTCTTTGTTGCATACATTAACATTAAATAATTTATAAATAATCTATATATATATATTAATTTTCATTTTTACTTTTTCTGTATTTAAGAAAATTCTTTTTTAAGGGTTTCAAAATTTCTCTTATATAATTTAGATCAAAAAGTACACTACATCCTATTTTGTTTTATTTAATCCATTTAATGAGCCAAAGATCCTTAATTGATACAAATTCAATATTCATCTCAATAACAAAAATTTCTTCTCATAATTATCATTAAAATACTAAAAAATTAAAACAGATATTATTTTTTATAAGGAAATATGGGTATATATTTGAAATAAAGATAAAATATATAATGGTAAGAAATATCTTTAAAATGAAAGCAGTTAATTAAATAAATTTATAAATATATTACAAGTAAGTATCTACTTTAGTGAGTTTAAAATAATTGATTTTAATATTTGTATGGCGATATCACTAATGATAAAATATAGATATAATATATAATAATATTTTATTTGTTAATATAATTATTTCTCAGAAAATAGATATAAAGATATAGGTATTGAACAAAGAATAAAATAATAATCATAAAAGAAGTAAAATAAAGAAACTTAAAAGATAATAATTTTTTATTTGATTAGAATATTATTTTAAAAATAAATTTAATAATTTAAATAATATTAAAGTATTATTAATTATATCACCAATTTAAATCAATGACTACAATTGTAGAGAACGAATTTTTTGTTTACTAAAATCGATACGTAAAGTCATTATAAGTTTTATTTCTAAAGAAGAGAGTTTCCATCCTTTAACAGAACAGTATTTAGTAATATCTTCAATTTGATCAAGACATAATACTGTGGATGTTTGTTTTAATTTTTCAAAACACTGAAGTGGAACACCATAACTTTTAAAGAGACTTTGAATTTGTTGTAACTAAAAGAATGAATATTAAGAATTATTATAAAACGTCAAAAATAAAACAAACATCTTTCATAAATTCACAAGCCCCAAATTGGGTAAATGTTTTTTTTCTTACAAGAAATTCTAATTGTTTAACTATATAATCCGTACATCCACTAACGATATTTTTTTGTGTTTGTTTTTCAATTCCATCCTAAAATAATATAAATAATTGTTCTATCTCCTTTCAAATAAAGTAAAATAGAAACAAACAATTTTTGTGTCTACAATTTCTTTAATTTTTTGAATAAATAGTTCCATTGAATAAATATTTTTTGTAAGGTCATCAGTAGGTTCAACTTTATAATTAATTTCTTCAATACTTTTAAGAGGCTGTTTAAATAAGTCGTTAAATGTTAAAATATATTTTTTTATTGTTTCATGGAGTAGTGATGAAGACTGTTCAAGATTTTTATGATATCCAAGAAGTTCATTAGATAATTTTAAATGATACCTTTCATTAATTAATTGAATTGATTGAGCAGTTGTAGTTATAATAAGATTTAAGTTATTATTAAATTGAACTAATGAATTTATTTGTTGAATTGATTCTAAATTAATTTTTTTAAGAGTCTAAAATGAAATGAATATGATTTATAATAAAGAATTTAAAGAATAACAAACAATATAAAATGAAGATATATAAATTTCACAACTATGAATAAAGGTTTGAATAATCATTGAATTGTTTGAAAGAAGTCCATTATTTAAAATACTTGAAACAGAGAAGAAGAATTCATCTATTTGTTGAATATAATTAAATTCATTTAAATGTTGTGATATAGATGTAATAATAAACTCAAGATGTTCTTCTTCAACTTTCATATATTTTGATATTAATTTTGATTTTGTATCTCCATATTCTTTAAATAATTGTGATGTTTTAACTATTTCAAAATGTTCTGAATTCTCAAATTCACTTAGTGAATGAATTCCTTTAACCACAGAATTAATATTCCATTTATCTGTTAATGATAATTTAAGTGATTCTTTTAAAATATCATTAACATTTTTAATAAAATCATCTATAATACCACTTAAACATTTTGTTGATACAATAAGAGGTTGTTGTGGTAATGATGGTTTTATTATTGTTTTAAATGAATCTTCTAAAGTTATAATGATATTACTTTGAATTATATTTTTTAAAGATATAAATAATTGAATAATTTTTTCAATAGCCTCTTCTCCTTTTTCATAACGTTGTTTTTGACATTCAGCATTAAACAATATGTTATAATACGTTTCGATTATTTGACAAATTGTTAACCCTTTAACAAAAGCCACAGTAACAACAAGTATATTAAATAATTCAAAATTAATTTCTTTAAATGTTCTTCTTGATGCAAAGAGATCTAAAGAAGTGTTTGCTGTAATTTCTAATGTATCTCGTTGTTGTTGGTCTATTCTTTGAAATAATGATAATTGAGGAGATTTTAGTAATGAAAGCATTGAGTTTACTGTAGTCGTTTAAGGGTGTCAAGTATTTGGTTTAATTGATTGTCTGTAAGATGTATAGATTGTTCAGATTTTCCAAAATACTTTGGTTGTTACCCATAAGAAGTAGTTGTTAATTAAAACAGATCATATCATTAAATAAAATCAATTTTGATACAAAAAGAAGAAAAAAAAAAAAAGAAGAAAAAGAGAAAGTTCATGAAACTTATTTAAAATAACATCAATGATATGATGACAATCAACAAACAATTCAATTTAAGGGTCGTGTTTGATTGGTTGGAACGTATGAATATCAATAAGATTACAAACGTACCTTTGGCAAGAAATGGAATTTGATTTACCATTTAGATCAAAGATAATATCTGAATTTTCTGTTTCTTTTAAAGTAGCCTCAAAATAACTACTTCCAATTCGAATAATAGGTTTCTCATAATTACAGTCCATTACTTCAAATCCATTACTAACATCATATCCTTCAGGTAATTCAAGAATAATATTTTCATTTCCTCCATCCATTTTTTTTCTTTTTTAAAAGGAAATTTTGAAAAAATTATAGTTCTTCGTTTCTCTGTTCTCCTTTTTTTATTTTTCTTTTTTAATTTTTATTTTTTCTCTTATTTTCATTTTATTGTTGTTTTTATTTAGTTTTTAAATCATTCCATTTTTCTATTTCTTTTTTTTTTTATCTTTTCTCTTTTCTTAACAACTTTTCATTTTAGTATTATTTTGTTTTTAGTAATTCTTTATATTCTTTCTTGAAAAGAGAAAAATAAAAATAGGACTAAAAAAGGATATTATTCAAAATATCTTATATTATTATCTCTAATTTTCTTTTTTAATCAATTAACTTTATTATTTTAAATTGTTTTTTATTTAAACATACATCAACTTATTGCAGTATTAAGAAGAACAACTCTTAGAAGCAATAACACATTCTATTAGAATAGGTTAATAGTCAAAATAAGCATTATTTTATCTCTACCTAAATAAAATAAAGATTTATTTAATAAATTAAGTTTTATTTAATTTTTACTCTTATTTTTTCTTGTTTATAACAAAAAAAGGTATTGAAAATATAACATCATAAGAATTAAAAAGTATTAAATAATAGAAGAACAAATCAATAATAAATATAATGCAAATCATGAAACTAAGTTTATAGTAATAGTCGACGTTCATTAGTTCTACAAAGAATATATGTTTATCAATATTTACCATTAGAAAAAGTATTATAATAATAACTTCATAATGATGTCTATTTCATTTAAAACATGATAAACAATTTAATATTAATTCAAATAAATTCAGAAAGTTAATAATTAAATATACTCGTAATTAAATTCTCTTTACATAAGAAGTAATTATTTTAGTTTTTTTAATACAACTTTTCCCTCCTTTGAAAAAAAATTATTTCAAAATTTTAGTAATATTTAAGTAAAGAAGTTTTATAAAAAATAAAAATAAAATTGTCCAAAATATTCAAGTTATTAACTTCAATATTAATTTTTTAAAATCTTTATCTAAAATAAACCAAATTAAATATTCGATTGCACAATCAATAATTCATGATTAAAAATATTTATTTTGTAAGTTATAGAAATGATTTTTTAAATCACCTACTTTTTCTTTAACCCATTCTTTTGTTGTCTTTGTAAATTTATTTGTTTTAGTAACTCCAAATTCTACCATTTTATGTAGTGTGTCTGATAATGAAGTGACAGTGTTTTGAATATTTTCTTTTAGACTTGTTTTGTCCATCCAATTCCTAAATAAATTTACTCTCGTTCTAATGTTTTCAAGTGATTTTTTTAGTTGGGTTTTCATTGACTTCATTTTATCTTTATCAGCTTCTTTTGACATTTTTATTCCTGTTTGACATGCATTGTAAAAATCAGTTAATAACCCTTTAAACTCTATAGATGTCTCAAAAACTCTTTTTATTTGTCTTGTTATCCAGTTGTTATTTATAAATTGAACAAATTTTTCAAAAACTTCTTTTGGGCTATCTCCATCACTCATAATATATACATAGTTATCTCCTAATATACCTTTTAATAATCAATAATGTCTTCCCAGTACTCATCTGATTCCTTTTCAAGATCT